TTAGTTTTCGAAGTTCGGGTCAAAGCTTGGTTTCTCTGGATTTGTCTTATAGGGGCTTTCATCTCTTGATTACAAGCATCGCGAAGGGTTTTGGCATCGTAGCCTGTGCTTGTGGCGCCCACGCCACAGGCACAGGTTATGGTGCCAAAACCCCAGGTTGCCGATTTTGCCGAAAACTAATTGCCCCTCGAGGTAGTTAGGCCTTCTGAACACGAACCTTACATTTGCATTGGGTGCCAAGGTAGTTCAAAATGGGGCAAGAGGGCGCACTATCAGCGCAGCCTGCGCTGCAAAGAGAAGCTCACTACCGCAGAGAAGTGGGAAGGGTGCTGCCATGTCTCACTGACCTTCCTTACTGCCCTAGCTCACCGCTTGGCTCGAAACCCTCGAACTCCGCGCTACACGCCGGCTCCGCGAAAAACTCACCCATGCGCGTTGTGGCGCGAATTTTTGACGTCATCGCGGCGGCAGAGCGAAGCAAGGCGATGGCCGGCGCCGCCCACCACTGTGCTCAATCAGCAGCCGCTTTTATGTGGAAGGAAAAAAGAGAGAAAGAGGATTGAACAGATAGTGGATGCTTAAAGGTGAGTTAGTGGTAGTGGTGAGAGAATACAGAAAAGTCGACTATCAGGGCGAATCAGTCCAGCAAATGGCGAAACTGAACGTTTAGGATGAGGTCTGGCAAATTGTCAACACTTGGTTGTGACCTTATAACGGTATAACGTTTGCGTAAGAGCTGCTTGCGTCGTTTTCACAATCGAAGGGAACTATTTCGCCAGTTTTGCCATTTACTGAAGTAATTCGCCCTGATAGTCGACTTTTCTGTATTCTCTCACCACTACCACTAACTCACCTATACGCATCCACTATTTGTTCAATCCTCTTTTCTCTCTTTTTTTCTTCCACATAAAGCGGCTAGTGATCGGAGCACAGTAGCGGAAGCGGACGCCATCGCCCTACACCCCGCCCTGGCGCCGCGCTGACCTCAAAACCGCACCGCATACGAGCCCGTGTGAGTTTTCCCTCCTCCGCTACATGCCAGTGATGTTGCGCCGGTGCCTGTAGCGCGGCCTGGTGGTTTCAAACCAAGCAAATGTGAGACTCGTTTCCAGGGGTCAAACTACTCCTGGAAGCAAGACTATAGCGTATGATAATTTAGAGTGTTTTGGCGCAGGCGCCAGTGGTTTGGGGCCAAGCGGATGTAATATTCATGTCCAGGGAGTCAAATTTCCTTGGGGTTACGTTTTTAGCCAGGCCTGCTTTCGGAAAAAAAAACGTCAGTGAACAACTAGCGTCATTTTGGAGGATGGGAATAGTGAAGGGTAAACAGTGTCTCATTTCCATATCAACAGGGCCTGAGATTGGCAACATTCTATCGAATGGAGAACCTATTATTATTACTCATCCTGTCGACGGTGCTGATGACAATGATGCGAATGGACGTTCTGTCAAAGGTATGTAGTTCTTAAGATTGTGTTCATACTTTGCGATAGGAAGGCTCTAGCGATTGGATCGCGCGACCACGGCAGGGGCTTCGCCGCCAGTAGTTAACCGCTGCAACGACAGATTTGAATTGGGTCACGTTCGTTGCGCTGTGCGAACGTGACCAATTTGAATCGTAGTCGCGCTATTCTGTCGCTTTTGAGATCCTGTGTTAGATACACTATAGTTCTCTGCGGACGGTTGGGCGTGTCAGCCAGTATGAGTGTGTCACCCTATCAAAGCCGTTCTCTGCCTTCTTGTTGAAGAGCGTCTGCGACAAAAAGTGGTAGAAGACTAGTAATACGAAGGATATGATACAGTATTGTCACTTGCCCGCTTCAACAACTGGTGTAGAACGAGTTTGGCACCGCGCCAAGCGCAGCCGCACGGACACGCCCAACCGTCCGCAGCGAACTACACTAACTGCTAATGATTCCAGTGGTTCGCTATCAAATGTCTTCTAATCACCCGCCGTCAGTCTTTTATTGGATTATGATAGCATTTGGAGTTGGAGCATTGCTGCTAACTCTATACGCTTCAGTCATCTTCTTCCGTGTTATGCGTTCAGCTGCCTACAGAAGAATTTCCGTATGTTTCTTGTAGAAAAATTGTCTAGTATTTTTGAAATGTAGCAAAATAGTCTGTGAGAGCTCATAAGTTGGTGAGAAACTCTAGCACCAATATACTCTTGAACTAAGAAAAAGCTTGTTCAGAATGACGGAGCTGGTCGTACGGTCGCACCATCTGGTCCAGGTCCTCTTCCTGTGAAGAAGGTGCCATTAGATGGTTGGGTCGAACGTAGCGAGCCATCCGGTGTACCTCCACCAGCGTATGATCAGGTTTGTCAATTTTTCTGGAATGCAGCTCAGGTGGTTTGAGGCGTGATAGCCTAGTTGATTCGACAAGGCACTTTGGCGTAAAATTGATAGTGTCACTGTAGTCTTGTTCCTGACAGACGGCTTGTCTGATCTAAAAAAACCTAATTGAAGATAAATTGCTTTGTTCTGATTCTGAGGTGGGAAGGATGCTTTGGCGTGGATGAATTACTTACTGAATTACTGAGTAACGACAAACACCCCTTCAGCGGAGTGCTCCTCCTCTCAGAATTGCAGGTCACAGTAGCGCTGACGCAGAATTGCAGACTGGTCCTACAGAGGCGCGCAGCTCCTGAAAAGTGACATTTACTGATTTAGTGATCCTTGGAGTTTTCATCAGTAGACGAAAGCAATTCAGTTGTCGCATTCTCCGTACAAGGCCTTATCATTATGTAATAGTATAGAATGTAGACTGTCATGCTCTGAAAGATTTGACGACAAATTGTTGCGTCAAGTCAACTACCTATGAATGCTAGCTAGTATGCTCTTCGCAGCTCTGTTCTGCTCCTTTTTTCGGTTCTTATGTCAGGCGTTAGACTCATTTATATTCTCGTGAATCGCAGATCTCAAGAAAATTCAGCTGAAACTCTACAGTTCAGGTTTCAATTCATTCCTTGCAAAAGCAGAAACCGTCCGATGTAACTGAGCAGCCGCATGCAACAGATGTCGAAATGGGCAAACCATCGCACGATCAGAAATGATTTTACTTCACATTGTTCCTCACTAACTATTCCTTTTACATAAGGATCAAATAGAGTGTGTACTTGTTGCGAAAACTAATTGTGTTGCATCACTTCTCTACATTGTAGTGCTTTTTGTGATTTGTGTTAATCTGGTGTTCAAAGTTCGTTGCATTTCCGCTTTTGTTGCAGGTGATGGGTCGACACTTCATCGGAACGATATTTGTGAATACTGTCTACTTAGTGGTGTGTTCCTAAGTCATAATATTAGATATCCTTCGAAACGGTTGTATTGGTACATGTATAAATATTGCAGTTATTTCACTTGTTCAGCATAATCTACAGCTAGTTTACTGTTGGATATCTTGGGTCGTAGTAATGTAATTTGAAATTGCGGGAGCTTAAATTACAAAATTCCACTGTCTTTTTCCAATCAACTTTGAATGCAGGCAAGGATTTTCAGCGAAGTGACGATCCAACAATCAGTTGAAATAAGCCGCCTAAGACTTGCCACCAGAACATTGCAACAGCTTCAACGCCCGCAATAGTGGATCGGAATGGTTGGAGATCTCATGCCGTTGTGCTGCCATGGTAGCTCATTAAACCTGTCTTGGAAGGTAGAGTCAGCAGCACCAAAGCATGGGATCTACGCCTATTCCGGTCAGCTATCCCAGACGTTGAAGCTGCTTCAATGTTCTTAGGGTATATATTCGACCTAAGGCATGTTCACAATCTGAGACCCTGACGAAACGGCGGTTCGGCAAAAAGCAAAAAATACTTATTGATCGGAGAATCGCCAACCGCCCCGTTCGACGAACCGCCGCGGTTCAGCGGTTGGGCGAAAAGCAATAGATGCGTATCGATTTCGCAGGCTCCGCCATCCAGAAAAACGCCAAGGGTAGTACGGCTAGCGTTTTCGCCGAATCGCCAGACTCTTCGCCCAACCTCGAATCGATACGTATCGAAAGCTTTTCGCCGAAGCGTTTCTTTCTAGAGAAACGCTGGGCCGCAGACTGTGAACAATGCCTAAGCTGCATTCTTACTTCGCGACATAAGCGATACTGGAATTGCGCGAGTGTCGGTCATTTGATCACGTCTGTTTCACCGCATATCGCCCCAGAACAGTATTTTCAACGGTATGAATTACTGCAACGGTCAATAGCGGCCTCGACTCGAATTCCCATCGCGCGGTATTCGCTCAAGTAGCAAAGTATGAACGAGGCTCAAGTTTCCGCGGTTTCCGGTTTTTACCTTCGTCGGGACCCAAAAAGGCCAAGAACGCGAGGTCGTCTCCCCTAAGGCTGCTAAACAATACAGCAGCGTTCATACTTTGCATTAGGGGAATGCCCGCTAAAGAAAATAGTCAAGGTTTCCGTCCGATCCCTGTTCACGCTACGCTTAGCGGTTGAGTTGGGTTCAAATATATCTGGCCTTTGTATTAATGTCGTGTTCTCGCCTAGTGTAGCGGGGATTGAACGCGAATTCGCTAAAGAGAGGTCTTCTATTGCTGTCAATTTCGTTATGTCAATTATCAGTTAAGGTGCGCTAATCATTGGAGGGGGCACTTCAAGAGTGAGGTATTTCTAATGAAGCGAGGTTATGGCAGAAGAAATGTTCCAAAGTGCTTTCTGCCTTCTAGAAAGTTATTGGCCACCGCTCAGAGTGGTTTAGGGTTGGCGAATCCCGCATTTTTTATTTTTATTCTCTTTCGTCGTTAAATTCTGACGAAGCCAAAAAAGGCGCGATCTGATAGCTGATGTCTCGCAATACCAGCGTGGCGGTGTCAATGGACCGGGTTTGAGCCAGGCTGCACTCGGGATTTTATCCAGTAGCGGTCGATTCAGAAAAAAAACAACTTCGATGGGAAGAGGTCGCTGATGACTGATTTCAACCTCCTGAACTCGCCCTATTAGATCGCGATGAAATCAGTGACCGATATTATTTTGTAGATGAAATGGATTGCCTGCTTGAAATAACTGTTCCTTATATAGATTGGAAACCATTTCAAATGCATTTTAGAATCGGATGAGTAAGATGAAACTTCTTGATTCCGATGATGATGATGAGGACGTCGGGGAAACATCCAACTCACTGGAAATCAACAAGAACTATGCTGAACGTTACGATAATTGGAGGAGACTAGAAGAACTACAAAAGAGTGTGTTTCATTTTCCAGTTCTGTATAGGAAAATTAAATTGAAAAACTTCCATGTCTCGATTGTGCCCAATTAAGAACTCTGTTTTCAGTCAAGGGACACAATACGGCGATAATCTCGATGACACATCTTCGAGTGAAGAAGAGCCTGTAAGTTTAAAGTCGCTCTTTCGTGATGGCTATCCAGTGGTTCCCAACATTGATCGTTCAGGAGTGGAGTGCTGCGGATGAAATGCAATTTCTGAAAACTCTCAGTGCTTTGAAGAGAATACGATAGTGCTATCTATGATGGAACGTCCTCGTTTTGGCACGATAGTGGTGGAGACGAAGCAAATGAGCGGGAGAAAGCGAAAAAGAAGGATCGAAAACCGAAGCCGATGTACCTCAAAGATTACGAGCGGAAACTGATCCTAGAGAAAGGAGGGTAAGCGCAGTTATTAGTTATTCCTACCTGGATCGATTTTGTTTATCTATTATCTTTTCTTTCATTTTTTTTTTCGTTGTTTTTCATGCGATATCCAGCGAGGAGTGTTTTGCTTTACCTATTTGCTTTCCACTTCACTTTTTCAACTTCGTGTTTAGTCAAATAGACGAGAGCGACGAGGAAGATGAACAGAAAGGCTCAAATTATTTTGAACAACAAGAACAGATACGGAACGAGTAAGTTCTTATGTTACCGCAGAACAATTAAGGATAAATTACTACATCATCTAGACTGCGTCGAGTGGTTGAAAGTAATGACGATGGCAACGTTTCTGATGAATCGGACGATTTGCTCGTTCCCAAAGTGAAAACCAAGGAGGAGAAGGTTGGATTGTTTTTCATTCCTTTTTTCGCTTTGCCGTCAAGTGCTATTTTTTCCTCCTCAACGTGCTTGATTCGAGGAAGCAGAAGACAACGATTTTTATTCCTGGATGAAATCACAGGACTCACAGGAAGTTAGTGATGACGATAGTCTGAAAGGACTCAAAAAGGTGATATAGTTTGCTATTCTCCTGAGTTTGAGCAGAGTTTGTTTTAGATTTCTTACAGCATTTTTCGCACAGCTCCACTGTTATGATTCCAAAACTTGTGAGATACTTTCCTCTGAAACTTTGCCGTTAGAGGTTACTCGGTGCCCTTGATCCTGAAGATGATATATATTTTAAGTGTCGGCGCCATTTGGCCCCCCCAATATCGACGAAATCTTGGATGGTTTGCTTGACGTCCTGATCACAAAAATCACTCATTTTTCAAGCTGGGCCAATAAGCGCCAATTTGGCACCGTCACATTCTTCACTATAATTCAACAAAATATCGCGAATATGACATTTACTCTTATTGTCGGCCCTAGTCTAGGGTACTCTGATCATCATTATTCTGCTAAGGCTCTTCCTTTTCCAAGGGGAAGGGAATCATTCCACCTCCCAGGCGCGCCTTTGCGGAGCGCTAAATTGTAATGGTGTTGAAAAATGAAAAATGAGTGTCTTCTCTGTGATAAGGATATCAACCGACCAAATTCTCTTTCTTTGGTGAGAGAGGTGGTGGTGGTGCACAATAGCCAAGGCCAAAAAAGATTGTAATGTTCGTTATCAGGGCACTAGATCGCATCAATAGGCAGAGTTTCAGCGGAAATTTTTTCAAGTTTTTGAAGTCGCAATAGTGGAATAGTGCCTCATTTTTTATTCTTGATCTGACCGTATAATTTTATTTCTATTTGCTCAGGCTTGGAAGGATCCAAATATTGATGAAGGGGAAAAGTTTTTGCGTGACTATATCCTGAATAAAGATTTCATTCCTGAAGCTGAAGACAAGTAGGATGTCTTTCAACCTTTTGAATGGATGATCAGTTAATATTTAATCATGTCATGTTTCTCTGAAGCTATGGAATTCAGAGCTGTGACAGTTGACGACCTCCAGGAAATAGAAGAAGATGAGAAAACTGCTTGACATGCAACGGAATTTCGAACAGAAATACAATTTCCGCTTTGAAGACCCGGATCAGGAGTTTGTACGTTTCTGCGAAATTGATCTGTTATGTTTATATTCGAGTGTTTTCATGGTAGTGTGATTCAGATTAAACAGTATCCCAGAACTGTAGGGGATTCCCTAAGACAGAGCAATACTAAAAGGAAAATGAAAAGAGAGGAGTACAAAGAAAGAAAGGAAAGGGAAAAGAACGAACGTAAGCAGGTACGGGTTGGAATAATGTAAGGTTTTCTCTTCCTTTATTGGCCATCTTATTTGTTTTTAGGAGATACGGGAGCTAAAGAATATGAAGAAAGCTGAAATTGAGAAGAAGCTAGAGCGATTAAAAAAGATGGCTGGTGATGATATTCCCATTAATATTGACGATATCACGGGTGATTTTGATCCTCGCGAATATGATAAGAGAATGGAGGTCAGCCTTTATATTATCAAATCTAAGCCAAATGTCTTATTGGGATTCAGTTAGTGGAATCCTAATGTCGTGCATTTTTCAGCAAATTTTTAATGAAGAGTACTATGGTAAAGATGACTCAGTTCATGAACAAGATGCGGAGAAACCTGTCTTCAGTGATATTGATGTTTGTTTTTTGTATGCTCCCAGTCATTACATATTCTGTCTTTTCTCTTTCGAAGTTCTGGGCTCATTCCAACATTTTCAGAGTGATGTTGAAAGTGATAGTAGTGATTATGACAATTTTCCCATCGGAACTATCTCTGAAGACGTTATCATCAGCAAAAAACGATGAGCAAGGCGAAGAGAAAAATGAAGGCGTAAGCGATGAGATAACCCGAACTAGCGGAAAACGTAAGATTCAGTAGTTCGAA